TCTCTCTCTCTCTCTCTCTCTCTCTCTCTCTCTCTCTCTCTCTCTCTCTCTCTCCCTGCTCTCCTTTTCTTGTTCATATTATATGGACAGCTTTCATTGACCACGCCCCTTCACTGTGAGATTTCTGCCTTGCCACAGGAATAAAAGCAATGAAGCTGGAAGATCATGGGCTGAAACCTTCAAAATCATGAATCCAAATAAATTGTTCTTCCTTCAGGTGATTTTCTCAGGTGTGTATTTTGTCACAGCAACAGAAAGCTAACACAGTGCAAAGATCATTCAGTCAATTAATGGCAATGTCAGGACTCAAGTGACAATGATGTGATTTGAACCAAGGTTGTTCATTCTTTCCCTCATTCGTTCATTGCAGAACTGGACATTGAACCCAGGGTCTTTGAGCTGAGTTACATTCTCAGCCATTTATAATTTTTTTTTATTTTGAGACGAGATCTCACTAAATCACTAAGTTGCCCAAGCTGGGCTTGAGATATGAATCCTATTGCCTCAGTCTCCCAAACTGCTGGGACCCAGGGCCTATTTTATGTGTGAGTGGAAGAACATGGCAGTGGTAGCATTCAGTCCTGGTCACATGAAAATCATCCAGATATCTTTTTAAAATATATTCTCCTCATTTGTCCCCTGGCCCTCTTCAGACCAGTTGCATTGGAATCAAAAGGCTCATATTATGGTATTGTGTTTGTCAGAATCAATAGAATGTGCATAAATAGAGAAGATATGCTGGCACATGCCTGTAATCCCAACTACTGGAGAGGCTAAGGCAAGTGGATCACAAGTTCAAGGGCAGCTTGGGCAACTAAGTGAGCCCCTCAAAGAAAAAATAAGAAGGCAGTGTATGGAGGTCAATGGTAGAGTGCCTCCCAGGGATGTGTGAAGTCCTGCGTCCAATACCTAGTCCCAAAAAAGGGAGACTAATTTTAAGAACTTGGTTCACAGAATTATAGAAAATGGCAAGTCCAAAATCTGCAGGCTGCAGTTTGGGGATCCAGTCGAACCAATGCTTCAGCTCACGTCTGAGAGCTCTCTCCTCAGAATTTCCTCCTGCTCAGAGCAGATCAGTCTTTTGCTCTCCTTCAACTGATTGGATGACACCCACTCACATTAGGAAGGTCAACCTGCTTTCCTCAAAATCCATTGATTTAAACGTTAATCTCATCCAAAAATGTACCACTGAAACATCCAGGATAGCATTAAACCAAATATCCAGGCTGGGGTCCCAATCACATTGATGCAAAAATAATAATAATAATAATAATAATAATAATAATAATAATAACCATCAGTATTTTTAAAGCTCCCAGGGCTGGGGAGATGGCTCAGTGGAATAAACGCTTCCCTAGCAAGCACAAGGACCTGAGTTCAGTCCTCGGTTCTGGAAAAAAAAAAAAAAAAAAGCTCCCAGATGCTTTGAATTCACTGCTGTAGAAAGTGCTTCTCAGTGCTGCTATGTGATTGCACATAGTCCTACACTCTCCAGTCTCTACAGGACCAAAGATCGTCCAGCCACTAGCAAATTGCCCAAGACAGATAGATAAGACACTTGTCTAAACCAGGCATGGCATCTTTTGTGGAAAGTAACAGAACAGTTTCTGTAGCTGCAACCAAGAGGTACAGTTTTGGTAGAAGGTAAGTAGAGAAACCACATTATGAACAAAGGATTTTGGCCATGGGTCCCAAATGGTTTCTGGTAAATGTCAGTGTGTATTCTCTTCTCTGAATTCTCTCAGTGTACCATTTCCTATCTTAGAAGGACTTGTAAACATTCTAAGACTTGGGAAAATTTTAGAGGGACGTGGTTCATTTGCTCATGCCCTACTGCTTGACAAGGGCTACTAGAGATTTGGGTTCAGAGACAATAAATCCAAATCTTGCCAAGATGGTAGAATAATTTGTAGCCAGAGCTGGGCAAATCATTTTCTGCAGCAGTGAATTCAAAAGAAGTGACATGGCTGACTGACTGTATATTTTCAAAATTTTGAAGTATTCTTCTCTCGTTAATCAAGAATATCTGAAAATCCTAAGCATTACACCACTGCAACACCAAGAGACAGAATGCTGGATATATTCTATTTAGTTTTAAGATTAAGAACTTTGGTATTTTTGTGGTCAGTTGATTTGAAAACATTTAGAAGGATTTTAATGTGTTTAGTTTACTTAGAATTAGGTAAATGTATCCTTGGGTAAAAGTTCAGACCAGCAAAGTCATTTGTTAGAAGATAGGGGCTGGGGGGGACCCCTGTGGAGTACAGGAGAGTCTCTGGGAGTTTGAGCATGGATTCCAGCTGCCAACCATCATGTCCCCAGGTCCCCCTGGGTACAGACTCAGGGACAACTGCTGAGTGGGCAAAGGCAGCCCCTAGGCCCTGCCCTCCCTGGGGATTATTCCTCATCCTGGTTTAATCATCTTTTTGCTTGAGTCAACTTACAACAAAGACGTTAATTAATAATGATATTTTTCTTAGCCGCACACCTCAAGGAACTATTTCAGAATGAACTTTTGGGTTAAAATGGCAGATCTTTGGGTAATCCCAATGGAATGAAAGAAGAGGGTTAGGAAGGAACTACATTTTAAAAAGCACCCTTAAACCTATGCAGCCAGGTGCATATTTAACTTAAAGTTATACTACCTAACTGGCTACTGTGGCTTTCCCTAATTTGAGATTTTTTTTACCATTGGCCATGCTGGAATTGTATCCTCCAAAAAGATGTAGCATTCTCCCTGCCATACCTCAGAAGGAGACCCTCTGGGAATAAGGTCTTTATAACTTAAAAGTTAAACAGGGGCATGAGGATGGATCCTTTTCAGTTCACCTGGTATCTTAATACAGAAGAGAGTCTTGAGGCCACGAAGGAGTGAGCAAAGCATCAGAAAATGCCTAAGGCTACCGGAGTTAGGAGCAGATCCGTGCTAGCACCTCCACAATAGGAGGGAGGATGGCCTTGCCAGCGCTTAGATGTCAGACTTTTAGACTCTAGAACTGGAGACAACAGATTTACTGTTCTAAGCTACACGTTTGTGGTACTCACGATGGGATCCCTAGGAAATTCTTGCACCTTTTAGCCTGAAGTTTCTCTTATCAACTATCTGTTGCCACAATAAAGGCATATAACAATGACAAAACATCAGTTCTCGACAAGAATACATAATGCTTGAACTTGTGGAGTCTCTGGTAGGATAATTTGTAGCCAGAGCTGGGCAAATCATTTTCTGCAGCAGTGAATTCAAAAGAGGTGACATGGCTGACTGACTGTATATTTTCAAAATTTTGAAGTATTCTCTCATTAACCAAGAATATCTACTTTTCTACTTTTAATTTTGTAATATTTAATATGTTCATTCATAGGTAAGAAGGTCATAACTTTTTAAAATGTATTTAGCTCAGATGGTCTGAAATTGGTTCTCAGCAAACGACTGTCGAGGGTAGCTCAGTCAATTGCCTCTGCTAGTAGCAGTGGCTTGCTTGCTTGTGCGCCTAGCTGTTGGTGTCCAGCCAGCTGATTTCAGATGGCCTTGACCAGATGACGGGGATAATCCCCCATCTTAAATTACTTCATCTTCTAGCAAACTCAAACATATTCTTCTTAGGACAATACCAGAAGACAAGAGTACAAGTAAAAAAGCTCAAGCCTCTGTTTGCTTTATGTCTACTAATATCTACTTATGCCAAACAAACATATATCTGGGCCACTGTAGGGTCCTATATGACCAGTAAGGCTACCAGTCTACCATCATCTAGTTCCAATTTGAAAGTTTCAGAAACTTGGGAGGCAAATGAGCCTTGGAATACCATTCTTTCTGGTCTGCCCAGCAGTCTACTGTGTCCTCCCACAGTGAGCTAGCCATTTGAAACTGAAGGAACAACACTGGGCTAAGTTCTATAGAAGATAAAGAAATGGCTAAGAATTGGGTCCTACCATAAGGACGCTTAGGATACAACTAGCATGAATTCCAAAAATGAGCCATAATGGGGACTTGCAAAGGGCCGAAGAAGTGGCAAGAAACTGTTGCAGGCTGCTCTTGCCAAGTACCGTGATCTGAAGATTCTCTCTCCACACTGAAATTTTCAGAAATCTAAGGGGAAATGAGGAGCGGGGGGGGGGGGAGGTGGCACATTTTTTGTAAAATTAACATTGTTCTAGTTTTAAAACTTGCTTATTCTAAAATTATGAGCTTCAGGCTGGCCAGATAGCTCAGTGGACTGAAGCGCTTGCTTAGGCAGGGGCAGGGACCAGGGTTCAATCCCCAGTATGCTGTGCTGGCTGCACCCCCAGGGTGCTCTGAGGCAGCGATTGAGACTGGGTGTAGTGGCGCCTGCCTGTAATCCCAACACTTGGGAGGTTGATAGCAGGAGGATAACTACAATTGCAATCTGTGTAGTGAGACCCTGTAGACCCTGTACTAAATACATTTTTAAAAATTATGACCTTCTTACCTATGAATGAACATATTAAATATTACAAAATTAAAAGTAGAAAATAGTTTATTGGTACCTTTTAAAATATCATGACGTGGGCTGGAGAGATAGCTCAGCAGGGTAAGCACCTGTTTGGCAAGTACAAGGACCTGAGTTCGATCCCCATACTGCATGCCATGCCAGCCCTGCAACCCCGGGCACACTGCCAGTCTCAAAACCAGGCATGACAGTATATGCATGTAATCACAGCACTGGGGAGGCTGAGACAGGAAGATCACCATGAGTCTGAGCTACATGACTTTGTAAAAGAAAAGTAGTTCATCAAAAATCCATCTTTTTTCCAAATAATTTTTTTTTAAATTGGTACAGGTATGCAGTAATAATGATTACATTTCTTAGGAGGAGTTGGCACATGTACATAACATGTTTTAACTTTTTTTTCTATCTTCCTCTGCCCCTTTATTTTTTGGTCCTGTCCTCTTTTCAGAAGTGTATGTGTGTGTGTCTTTGTGGGGTGGGGGGATGCGCACACATGCATACATGTGTGTCTGTGTGTTATGCTTAGTTTTCTTCCAGCCTGGGTGTCACTACTACAGCAGGCGAGAGAGCACTTCAGCAAATCACTGCAGAGAAGGGATCATTTGAGGTGGGTTTTAAGGCTAGGCTGGAGTCCAACAGATGAAAGCCATTGTGAAGTAGGGGGAGCTTGGAGGGGGTGCAGGGTCAGGAGGGAGACTGGAACATTCCACCCTCAGCCAGGAGTGAAGTTTATCTGCAGCTGCACTTGCTGGACTCTAGGAGCTGCAAGCTTGAGCCTGGCTGTCACGGCTGCCTTCAGCTGCCCTGGTCTTGGCCCAGCTGTCCCTGTACCCTAGACACTCCTGTCCCAGCCACACATTCTGCAAAGCCCTCTCTACTGTGGCAGATCGCAGCGATTTGCCTGCATTCTCTTTCCACCCACCTCCAGTCCTGGCTGGGAATTGGTCTTGCCACCCCTTTACTTTCCAGGTGATCCTTCTTCTACAGAGTCAAGCTGAAGGAGTATGGCCAGCATTAATTCTTCCCGTCCTGCCATATTCTTAGGGATGATCTGACTGTGGGCCACATGGTATACATGACTGCAAAGACAACATTTTGGCTGGGATATAGCTCAGCAGTGCAGCACCAGCATGGCAAGTGCAAGGTCATAAGTTTGATTCGCAGTACACACACACACACACACACACACACACACACACACACCCCGCAGCATTTTCATCTCAACCGAACCAGAATAGCAGAAATCGTTACTTGTATTTATTCACTAGTTAGTCACTCAAAGGCACGGGTAAACTGTTCAAGGCTAGATGACACAGAAGATGGTGCCCTCTTTCGTGCTCTAAATGTGCTCGTACCATAACATTCCAATCTCCGTGGATACGGTGAGAAAGAAGGCCCCATGTTCCAGTTCATACCTAGCCTTGGTTGCCCACATTAAAACCTACAGGTGGGCCTGCCCAATAGCTCAGTTCTTTAAGTGTCTGCTGAAACAAAGCAGTCAAACTCACAGTTCTGTGGTTCGAAACCAAGACACTCAAGCCGAACTAGACCTGCTCTGAAGGCAAACTCAGTCAAAAAATAAAATAAGATAAAACCTACATAGGAATTACACAGTTAGTTGCTTTTCTCCTGAGCTGGAATTTTGAGTTTGGGATTAGTTTGAAAGTTGTCTCTGTCCACCCGCATGAGAGATTTTTAATATTTTGTCACTGTGTGTATACTCTGGAGTACTATGCCTCAGAGTGGTACCCATCAAGGGGCCACTTGGAAAGTCCTATAGGATTTAGTGGAGCTGGAAACTAGAAAATTCTGTTGTGTCCAAATTCTATATGTGTTGTCTCAGTTCACAAACTTTAAGACTACATGGTAAAGGGAACAATATTAGCCAAAAACAACAGCTCAGCCACACAGACCCTCCAAGCACATGAAATTGAGTGCTAATGCATGAGATTTTAACACAAATGCAAGATAAGGTTAACATAATACTCTCCTTGAAAGTCAACAGAAGAAAGTACTTTCAGTGCAAAGACTTCCATTTACACAGCTCTTTATTCTTCTCCCTGTGTTCTCACCTCATCTGATACAAAATAATCAATCTCTAGTCCATATAGCACACTATTATTATCTTTTTTTACTTCACAGATGAGAAAGCCAGGGTTGGAGGAAGTTAACTGTGCAAAATGATGGAGCCTGTCAATATTAGATAGGAGGCTAGAGTTCACTACTAGTATTGGGGGTCTATTCAGATTAAACTAGTTTTATCGGCTTGCTTTGTTTTGTTAAAGTATCCTGATGAACCAACTAAATTATCTGGCATCCAACATGCTTTCTAAAGCCTACAATAATTCCAGGCAGTGGACATAGAATCACTGAGTTGACTTAATCGGTAGAGACCTGCGCTGCGGAAATGGAAAAGCAAACACACTCATTCAAATATTTGGATTTTCTTTCAAGACTGTAGAAGCTCATTATCAGAAATGTCCTGTCCCAATTCAGAAGGGATCCATGCCAGAGGAGAGTCTCCCAGCCAAGTGTCATAACAAGAGCTCTCTCAGAGTGACAACTCCAGAATACTACATATAAAGGATGTTGAGATAGCAGTGTGCTAGAAGGTGTTTGTGTGATCAGCCCAAGTAGTTTTTTTTCTTAGATTATATGCTAGAGATATGAAAACAGTGTTTTTACTAAATTCCTTTTAATTGCTTTTGAATAAAATTGAGAAGACTTAAATTGTACCTAAAACGGAACATTAGAAACTGCAGTCATGATAGTGGTGGTCCTAGGAGTAGTGATAACAAGGTTACCAACACATCTCAGCCTACCTGGGACTTTATTAATTTTAAAACCAAATGCCCTATGTGTCAAATCTCTCCAACCCCATCCCAGGCAAATTAGGACAATTGGTCTAAGTACGTAATATAATCATCATCATTAGTACATTATTAGCGTCATCATAGGAAATGAGTTAGCAGCCACTACAGCGATCCAGGGTGAAGACAGTGAAAAAGCCAGGATCCTTTTCCCCAGGCAGGCATTGCTCCCACCCCAGTAACCTGCCTAATGTCATCAAAGCATTATGTTTCACAGTCTCTCACACACAAAAAGACAGTACAGGCCTCCCCCCAGGAAGGAAAGTTGAGAAAGCCAGGTTACCTGGCTCCCACCCACTGTCTGACCCAGAACGGCCCCATATTAGATCACTGATTGGTTCCAGGATCTGAGTTTATTTTGCTCCATGATTCATCAATGCTTAAATGCAACTATTTCTTCACCCTGTCATTATGGGACACTTAATCCAAAATTTTACTGAAATCAAGAAATGTTTTTCTTGCTGTTAGCCTCGGAGCAGAAGAGAATTCCTTTGAAAGCTTTAAAGTTCAATTGTATTTCTCAGTAACTACTTTCAAAATTTCAAATAATAAAATTGGGATTTTTCCTTTCATCCAGTTAATCTTTGCTTTTACCCAGCCTATGTTTTCTTTCCTTTCCTTTAAAACCCCTCAACATACCTCTGTACAATAAATATTTATTAGTGTAACTTACGAGCTTTTGTTGTTTACTTTCTGCCAAAACTAAAAAGTATATCTGTGGGTGGCCTAAAAAATCTCAACTATGATAGAACTAAAGCAGAAAAATGAGCAGCTACTTCATATAAAAAAGATGAAGAAATCTCAACCTTCAAAACTTCCAGAGTTATTCTTTCAACAATATTCAGATTAACACAAAGGAAAATAAGTGAGCAAATAAATGATCTCCTCCAAGGACCCCATCCTGTTTGTCTTACCTCCGACATTCTAGAGTAAACATTTACGGAGAACATCAGGAGGGAAAGCAGGCCAGGCCTGTGCAGGAGAGAGGATTATGCACTACACGACAGATAAGGCCGGGTACTGCCCACCGCAGCCCACATTTTGAAACCCTCTCTGTTGCCGGCTTCACACTCTCCCATGTGGAAGGGAAACCAGCAAATCTCTAATGAGTTCCTGACCCACCTATGATCCCTCCCTTCCTCGTGCACATTTCTTTGGAGAATCAAAATCCAACATCTGGAATTTGGCTTTTCACTGTCACAGGATGTCTCCAGCGCTGGCTGTTGTTTCTAGAGTTACATAATTTCTCTGGAGGAGCTTTTTTCCTTGCTTCAAAAAGAGCGAAAGAGATTGCAAAGGAAATGCCTGTGATATTAAAAAGTCATAAGCACTCATCTGTGACAATGAAAAGCAGTGGCACTAAATACACATGGGCTCCAATGGTTAACGAGGAGCTGGATGGAATGAAGCTGGTGCAAATGACTGCGGGAGAGAAGTAAGGAGTGTGAGCAAAGAGGTGAATGCCTCGTGCTGTGCAAACAACACCATGAGGACAACTTGGGCATCTCAGGAAAGAATTACAGAACTAGTGGTTGGAGGAGTATTTGGTTAGCTCAGGCTGTCTCACCCAGAACTCTTACCAACCTTCTGTCATTGCTTGGCTTAAAGTCTGCAAGCCTTGCCATGAGGCACCCTACATCCTTCAGAGAGGACACCATGGAAACACATATGGGGCATTCACGAAGGATCCGCGGCAGACATAAGGGCCTCTCTTCAGCAGCCAGACCCTGCTCAGCCACCACAACACAAGGGCAGACTCCAGCTCCTCTCCCAAGATCCCACTGGCCTTGCTGAATGCAGATGAGCTTTGTTGGCCACTACCTGGCCTCTCAGAAGAAGCACCTGACCTAAGGGCTGGTTCCCTTCTTGAACAGCCCACTGAAAATAGTTTCCATTCTCCCTATTAAAGGAGAATGGGAATAGTAAATACAAGGCAAGAATCATTAAAAGCATAGCTCTTTAAGCATCCTGGGGCAGATGACTTCAGAACAGTTAGATCCACTTTCAAATTCTGAATTTTTTAAATTTAATTTTTATATTATTTTGAATAATAAAAACAAAAGCAGAAACAGGGTAACATACAGCACACACGTTACAGATTTTCAAAGCAGGAATGGCTAATTAACAATTGTTGTTCTATTATCTACTTTTATTGTCAAATCTGCTACTCAGATTAACAGATTAGTTAAGCAAGATTGGACAAATATTTGAATATCACCACTTACTTTCAAGAAACCTTAGGTTTTTTTTCTTGT